TGAGGCTGGCCTCAAACTTGCAATCCTCCTGCCTCAGCCTCCAGGGAGGGCCATGGCATCAGCCATGGGACAACTACACTGCCCAAGTCTAAGGCAAGGTGGCGGGTGAGGCGTCTGGAGAGAGGAGAGCCCTTTGTGCTGTCACGGATGCACAGTTAACCGACATACAAAGGAAAAGGAAGTGTTCCCTTCTTGCCCTCACCCAGCGCAAGTCAAAAGGAGACCATCACTCCCCAACCCTGCCACCACCTCCTCTTCTGATGACTGAATGAGTCAGAGGAGATGTTTGTCAAAAAGGAAACACGGGTTTTCTCACCATTTCCCCCCTCCCAGTGGGTTTGAATGAGTAAGAAAATCCATTGTTCCTGTGTGTGCCAGTAGATGAAAACAGAGCCAGGTACCTCTAAGGACCCGGCCTGGGACCCAGAGTCAATAAGCGCATGCCCTGTCCCACCTGCACCATCCAGCCAGGCATTATGAGGGAACCTGTCCCACGGCCAGACTGCTGCAGGCATCCTGATCACAGTCACCTGGTGCAAGACCTGGGCTGGAACAGGGCTGTGGAGGTGAGGAGACCGATCATGTGCTGTTCAGCCCCCAGCTCTCCAGCTGAGGAGCCTGCTGCCCAGCGAGCCAGGAGAGCCAGAACCCAGCCCCAGCATCTTTACAGGGTGGGAAGAGGACAGGGGGGCCATCCAGGCTCTCCTCTCCCCAGGGAACTGCTGGCCCCAGTGCAGGTGCTGCTCCAGAGGAAGGCGCGGCATCCAGAGTGCTGCTGAGTTCTCTCTAAGTGGGCCATCAGGAGTGTCTTTCTGCCACGCGCGGTGGTGCACATCTGTAATCTCAGCAGCTAGGGAGGTTGAAACAGGAGGATCGCAAATGCAAAGCCAGCCTCAGCGAAAAGTGAGGCGCTAAGCAACTCAGTGAGTCCCTGTCTCTAAATAAAATACAAAACAATAGGGCTGGGGATGTGGCTCAGTGGTCGAGTGCTCCTGAGTTCAATCTCCAGAACCCTCATCCCCCCAAAATGGAGTGTCTTTCCCCTGGGGTCAGGAGTCCTCCGCCATCTGAGGTCCTGGCTGCTTGCTTGGTGAGCTTGCTCCTTTCCTAAGCTACTGTGTCAGGTATCCAATGCTGACTTTGTTCTGGGATTGAAAGCTGAGGTTTCAGTTGCAGCTGACACTTTCTGAGTGTGGCATCTAGGGACATCTAAAGAAGGAGGTGAGAAAGGACAGGGCTGGTGGAGAAGTCCCAGCTGGCTTTCCCACACAGAGGAGTGGCTGGCAACGCTGCGCTGGGCGGGAATGATGGCCAGTGTGTGTTGGAGAACGGAGCCCTGCTGTGACGTTGGCCAGGCTTGACGACTGATGTCTGTCATGGAGAGCACTAGACAGAGTAGGGAGACCTGGCTCTGATCCTGGTTCCACCACTGACCGACTGGACAGCTGTGAGGAGAGAGGCCATTACCACACGTGGAGCTGATTTCCCTGCCTGGGAAATGAGTGGTTTTTTCGAGACCCAGTAATTGAAAACATTTCTAAAGCTAAAGAACTTCCTGTTCACATGAAATCCCATGTGGTCGACTCCATGTCAAGCAGACAGAAGTGGAGTTATCTTTATTGTTTGCCTAGAGCACCCTTTCCCTTTAGCAAGATTTCCACAGAACCCTGGGGGTTCCAAGGAGTCCAGTTTGGGTATCACTGGACCCCGCTGCTGTTGTTATTAGCTCTATAGTTTGTATCAGCTGTTCTGTGTTCACTTGACTAATGCTGGTCTGGCACCAGCTGCTTGGCTAGTGTGGACATGACGTTGGATGATTCTCAGAACAGCTCCTCTCCCAGGGCGATTGTCACGATACCCGAGATGCATAGCCAGTACTTCCATCTGGCCCTGGACACATACAAAACATTGACTCTGGGGGCAGCAGGAGTTAGGTGGACATGGGTAGGGAGCAGGGTGATACGGAGGGAACTTGCTGTTCTCTTCCCTCACCAGGTCACCCGGATGATTGTGGTTTTCTACCCATTAGCACCTGAAGGATGTGATGCCTGCCTGTCAGCATTCCATCTGCTTCTGTCCAGCATCATGGGAGTATAGAACTCTCATATCAACAATAGGAGAACCAGTTTCATGACATCAGAAGAATTAATCAGTGACTTGTCATATGAAAAGTATTCTAGGATACATTCTCTGGTAGAGGTTTGTTTGTTTGTTTGTTTTTTTGCACAGGGCAGGGACTGGGAATTGAACCACCCAGGGGTGCGTTAGCACTGAGCTACAACCTCAGTCTTTTTATGTATTTATTTTTGGTCAGTATTGGGGATCAAACCCAGAGCCTCGTGCTTGCCAGGCAAGTACTCTACCACTGACCTACATCACCAGGATCCCCCTAACCCCCGTCCCCTTTTTTATACTGGAGATTGAAATCAGGGGCGCTTAACCACTGAGTCACATCCCCAGCCCATTTTTATTTTTATTTTTTTTATTTTGAGACAGGGTCTTGCTAATTTGCTTAAGGTCTCACAAATTTGCAGAGGCTGGCTTTGAACTTGCAATCCTCCTGCCTCAGCCTCCCAAGCCACTGGGATTACAGGCGTGTGCCACCATGCCCAGCCCTTATTTCATTTTTTTGAAACAGGGTCTTGTTTAGTTGCTCAGGCTGGCCTTGAATTTGTGATCCTCCTGCCTCAGCTTGTCGAGTCTCTGGGATTACAGGTGTGCGCTACTGCACTTGGCACTCGGCCACTGAGCCACATCCCCAGCCCTATTTTGTATTTTGTTTAGAGACAGGGTGTCACTGAGTTGCTTAGCACTTTGTCATTGCTGAGGCTGGCTTTGAACTTGGGATCCTCCTGCCTCAGCCTTCTGAACCACTGGGATTAACGTTTACTGTTTTATATGAGATCTTTTTTCTCCAGAAAAGTCATGTCAGACCCTTAGGAGACTCATAGTGCTGGGCAATCGAGATGAAAAAGTCAACTTCCTGCATTCCTTGTCCCCTGTCTTACCCCTGTTAGTCAAGCATCCCAGTGAGAGTAGGAAGGAGAAGATGCTACACTGGCGATCAGTGACTGTCAGCCCCTGATCAGTGGGCATCTTGCTGTGTGACTTTTTGTAAATCCCCAGCCCTCTCTGAGCTTCTGCCTTCCCATCCATAAAATGGGGACAAATATATAAGATGCTTCTCCAGACAGTCTTGCTAGTTTAAACTTGCTTGATTCCATGACACGTAAAACACAGTGTACTAAGAGACCAAGGGAGCTAATTCAAGTCCCCCATTGCCCCTCTTTCTCAGTGAGGAGGGGTGCTCAGGAGGTATGACTATATTTCCTGTTAGCTCACTGTTATCCCCCCATTTGAACCAGGAACACTGAGACCTAGCCTGGGCTGGCATCCCCCATTCTGTCCAATCCTACACCTCAGACACAGTCACCATCCCTACTTGTCCCATCCCCCCAAGGATCATTGCTTCCCTGAACACTCCTGGTAGATGTCAGGCCCTCTCCTGAAAGTCAGGGTCCTAAATTCTCCCACAAGCTGCTTCAGGTTCTGATCCTCACCTCTGTTCCTCCCAGCCTCTTGCCATACAGATAATGACTATTTATTGAGTACCTGCTATGTGATAGGCTCTAAGTAGTTTGTTGTCCTGATTAAATGATATTCACAATAACCCTAAAAAATATAGTACCATTATCTCCAGTTTACAGACAAGGAAACAAAGATACTGGCAATTAAACTTGCCTGGGGTCATTTGGCTACAAGGTGATGAAGCCAGGACACAGCCTTGGCTCCAGTGCCCACACATACAACCATTGATCCCACGGCTTGATATTGTGGCTGGAGTAACTAGGAGTTAAATTCATCGAGTGCCTACAGCACGCCATGTACTGAACTCACGTCATTTCACTTAAAGTTCACAACTGAGAGAGAAAACCACTCCTTTCCATTTTACAGAGGTGGAACTGAGGCCTCAAAACATTAAATGACTTTCCTGTGTAGTAGATCCAGGCAGGCTTTGAACCCAGGAGAGTTCTGTGCATCTGAGCCTTTTTCTCTGTTACTCTGCTTTTCGGGACAAATAAATACCCACCCCACTACCTGTGGGAAAAATAAAGAGGAACCCACTGGTACCACCCAGTCTATAGAGCTCTTGAAAATGCTGGTTGGTTAGGCTACCCCAGAAGGGCTGAGACTGGACAGATCTGAGTTTATCCACTGACCTTGACTGAAAAAGAGTCAGGACACAGAGAAGCTTTGATCACCTTAAGGTTCTGCTTCTCTTCATCAGTTCTGGGTGATTCTGCAAGTGACCTGCTTTCTGGAGCCTAATGGTCCCTAGGGGCAACCTGGGACTTGGAAGGGAAGCAAGGATATCATGATAGATTTCCTGGATTCAGCCACATCCTAAAATCTCATGGGAGGCTACTGAGCTTAGATCTCCAGGTGGAACTTGGAAGACAGCTGACCCAGGATGCCTGCGCTCATTCAAGTACCACACAGTTGGTGAGGTCTAAAGTTAAGCGTGCTCACTGGGCTAGGGTGCACAGCATCCTGCAAGGTGGAATGTGCCATTCCCATCCACAGATGAACACACTCAGTCTCAGAAAGGCAACGTAACTTGTCCTGGGACCCAAAGCTGGAAAATAAGATTCAAACCCAGGTCCATCTTACTCCAAAGTCAGGGTTCTTTATAATACACCAATGCTCCTGTGCATTAGGGACTGTGGGGGTGGACACAAACCAGGGTGAGAAACCCACTGTGACCTATGCACACAGATCCAGAGGTCAGTTCAAGAACTACAAGTTCAGAGAAGGGCAGGGGTGATAGAGTTTCCACCTCACCCCGGCAGCTCCGTCCAGTATTCTGTCTCAAGCGGCCCTTGCTAGGAGGCTCCCCTCTAGCTAAGGCTGTACCTTTTGGAAAGTCCCCAGCACCTCCGGGAGCCCTAGTGGGCTACTCTGCCCTGGTAAATAGAGGGGCAAATGAAAAGAAAACGAAATGGAGGGGCAGCTGGGAATTTATTTGCAGGAGAGACACTGGGGAGAGGGTAGTTGAGAGCAAAGAGCCAGAAAGAAGGAAGCAGAAAAGATGCGCATGGGTGCCGCGCTGGCCTAAAGCTGCCCAACTGGCCCTGCCCATACCAAAGTGCCCATGCCACCTTATTGGGCAGTGAGCACACAGGGAAGGCAAAGGTGGCTTGCAGCCAGCCAGTCGGGAAGATAATCTGCTCCCACAAGTTACATAATACAACGTGAAGTCAAAGGGAACCGCATTTGCAGTATTTGCTGCTTTGCATTCGTCACATCATTTTCGCCTTATTTTAATCTGGAGCACGAAGAGTTATGAAGGGCCACATTTCCGATGCAAATTATATTTACTAGGATTCCACAGGAGTCCTCTTTTTGTTGGGTCTTTTTGCCACTTGTTTCTTTTGTACTATACGATAGCTTTCGCTTTACACGAAAGATTAGAAAAGTTGTGCGTGGGATTCAGGAAAAAATCTATTTATGAGCCATCAGACCGGCTGGTGGTGAAGACGGTGGTGATGTGTTGGGAGAGGCTTGGCAGGTGTTAGTTGGATCCAGGAACATAAGCCAGGGGTTGCTGGCCGGAATCTTGCAGAGCGGTGACAACAAACAATAAGAGTGGCATGGAACCGGCTGGAGCGTGATCTAGCAGACCTCCGGGCCTTAGTAACTTTGCGTCTCGGGCTCGGGCGGGCCTAGGCGAGCTCCACCCCTCCAAGGCGCAGGGTCGCCTGGGCCCGCCCCGCGGCCACGCAGCTATTGGTCGATGCCGACTCAGCCACCTGCCCCTACCTTGCGTGGGCGGTGCTACCTGGGCCCCGCCCCACGGCTCGGGTTCCCAGGCCGCGCTTCCCCCTCCTCCTCCGGCCCCGCCCCCGGCGTGAGGCCCCGCCCCTCCTAGTCCCCGAGCCCGGGCACCTCGTGATGTCACGGCCGCTTTGATACAAAGAGCCCCTTCGGCCCACGCGGGTCTCCCGGCAACGAGCGCGGGCGGGGGCGGGGCCGGCGCCTTCAACTGGTGCCGAACGGTGCGAGCGGCGGCGCAAAGGCTTGGGGATTGTTCCTTGAGCTCTCGGGTTGCCCGCCGCGTCCCTACTCATCCTACTGACCCGCGCTGAGCTTCTTGTCCCTCTGCAGAGGACCGATCCGCAACTGGTCGGGGATGCACACCCCGCCTGCTCCCGGGAGTCAGGTAAGCGGTGGCCTCGGGCTTGGGCTCCTGGGGCTCCGGGAGGGTCTACATGGCCCGCCCGGGGCCCTGGGGTCAGAAGTTGGCAAGAGTAGAATTGCGCCAGCTCTCGCCCCGCGGTGTCGGTCCTCTTGATGCTGGCCTGGGAGGTCGGGTTACTTGCCTTGGCTGGCTCGGCCACGGAAGTGAAACCGCTGTCCCTGCTGCCCTCTCGGAGCCCTCTCACGTGCCCGGCGCCGGCGTCCAGGTGTGAGCGTGAACAAGACTAGCACCCGGCGCAAGGGAAGAGTGGCTGCGCTGTCTGCAGTGCAATTTCAAAAAGTGTTTCAGGGGGACCTACTGGGCCGGGGAGGGGCCTTGAGTGCCCAGACCCACCTCCTGCCCCGCCGAACTGGTGTTGCCCCCAGCGCCCTGCCCTTGGCTCGGCCGGTACCCAAGGGGACTGTGCGCAGCAAAGTTTTTCCGTAGCTCTTGGCCACTGCACCGAGTCCGTTTCCTGGCTTCCCCTGTCCTTCCAGAAGGGGACTCTTCGTGATCAGACGAGAGAGCCAGACCATTTCGGGTTTGGGGAAAGAGCCCTCCCCATCTCAGCATGACGCTGCTATGTCTGTAGATATGCGCAAGCTCCCCCAACCCGTCGTCCTCCGTCCTCCTCCGGTCCTAAGTGCCAGCGGTCCGCCTTGGTAGTTGTTGACACACCCGCTTCTCTGCCGGCGACAAGTGTCTCTCGGAAGGCCTGGCAGTGCAGTCTCTGTTCTTTGGGGAACCTGGTGTGGACACAGCCCCCGACCTTATTCCTTGTCATCAGGGCAAACCTGCCAGTGTCACCTCCTCCCCGTTTCCGCTTCTCTTTGGCCCTGCTCTCCCGGAAGAGGGCTAGAAATGATACATCCCTGGGCCCTGAGGGCCATGCCAGTTTTCACTGACTTATTTATAGACGTCCGTCTCAAAGGAGTGTAAGGGGCCCAGGTTCCTGTGTCTGCCCTCAGCCTGTAGATCTTGGAATGGCAGACCTCTAGGCTGCTTCCTGGTGGTCCACCAAACCTCTGCCCTTCCTTCCAGAGCCAAAGCAGCTGGTAATATTCCAGGGTCCTGGAAGCAGTGGGCAGGCACATCCCCTGGGACAGACCTATACCTGTCCCCGATGAAAGATGCTTACAGTGACTGTCAAGGATAGGGAAAAGGAGTCTTGGGAAGTGGTTGCCGTCTGTGTGGACCCACCTCTGCAGTAGGATATCTCCCCACCACACTCACCATTGCCTGGGGTCTCACTGCCCAGTCCCTACTCACTCAGATGCTGGCATTGTGGCACTGGCCCAGATCTCACGTCTCACCCTGCTTAGCTGGCATTAACAAACTGTTGATTGTGTGTCCAGGGAATTTTATTCATAGAATACTTACCTGCTCTCAAGGTGTTCGCAGACTGTAGGGGACCTTGAATACCTGAATCTAATCTGGCCCTGCCCATTCTCCTGAATTGGGGGCAAGACTTTGAGGTCCCATGGCCTGCAGGAGCCAGGAAAGCCAGTGAAAAATGTGGAATTCGGGCACATGGGCCCGCAAGGAGCACAGCTTGGGTAAATACCTGGTGGAGAACAGGTTTGGAATTCTGAGAACCCTGGGTTTAGGTGAAGGGGTTGTAGTAAATGATTAAGGCCAACAGAAGAGATAAGACTGGGCCTGAGGGGAGGGATGGTTGACTAGCCAGGTCAGGTGAGCTGGCTGGGAGGCATGCCTTTACCCTAACAGATCTGCCTGGAATCTGTCCTTGGAAAGGACTTTTAGCCAAGTGAAGGGAGAAAAAACAGAAGAAATTAGAGGGACCAGGGTACTCCAAACCATTTCCTTTGGGGTTGCCAGGGGGCAGCCTGCACTAGGGAAGTTTTCTTGACCATTTGTGTCCCTCCCTAAAGTATTCCGGTACCTTTATGGTCTCCCAGCGCTCTTTTTCCCTCCTGATAGGACCTTCCTCCAATAAACACACCACACTTTCTCTCTCTCTTTCTCTTTGTGGTAGTACTGGGGATTGAACCCAGGGGTGCTTTACATACTGAGCTACACCCCCAGCCTTTTTACTTTATTTTGAGACAAAGTCTCTCTAAGTTGTCGAGGCTGGCCTTGAACTTGGGACACTCCTGCCTCAGCCTCCAGAGTTGCTGGGATTACAGGTGTGTGCCACTGCACTTAGCTTCGGACCTTTCTCTTTAGCTGTTTGCTTGGGACCCTCACAACTCACCCTTCCTCATTCTCACCCCCTACCATGACTCAAATCCTTTTGGGGGCCTGACAATCTCTAGGCAACCTGTTATTCCAAGGGTTCTTACACAGTGATCTTGCTTTGAGGGGCTTCACAGTTGCATTTCAGTGTACTTGAGGCAGGGGTGAGGAGGAGGTCCAGGTTGTGGGGGAATCTCCCAAAGAGAGCAGGTGGGCACTGCTGTTCTAGGAGGCAGGCATTGCACGGATGGAGGAGGGACAGCCCAGGTGTTTTGAAAAGGAAGCATCCTTATCTGTTCCACCTGGTGTTAGCTGTGAGACACAGTGTCCTGGTGAGGCCAAGTGCAGCACCCAAGGCCAGTTCAGTAGCCCGCAGCCCTGCATCTCCCTGGGCTCTGTCTCCTCATCTCTTCCTGATCCCCCCTTGGCTTCCCTCTGCAGTCCTTCCCCCTGTGGGTAGTTGACAGCACAGTTCTGACCCTTCATCTCTCTCTCTTTTTTAATATTTTTTTGTTATACATGAACATAATATCTTTATTTTTATTTCTATGTGGTGCTGAAGATGGAACCCAGTGCCTCACATGTGCGAGTCAAGCACTCTGCCACTGAGCCCCAACCCCAGCCCCCTTCATCTCTTAAGGAGTTCAGAGAGGTACACACTCACATGGGCAGCAGCTTTGGAATGCGTCTTCATGTAGTTTAGGCCCCCAGAGCACACACGTGTGTGTGTGTATGTGTCAGGTACACATCCAGGTGGGTGTCACCATCTACCCTCTGGCTGAGGGTTAGGGGTGCCCTCTGGGTTCCTGGTGTCTGAGGTGAGTTAGTGGCCACCTTCCCTGGCCAGCCCATGGTCACTTGGGAAGATTGTCCAATTTAAACCCTGACCACAGTGTGATCCAGAGCCCCCACTGGGTGGTGGGCTGCAGAGTGTGCCCCCAAAGCCTGGGCACGTTTATCTGCTTTCATCGGGAGCTGTCATTTTTCTCATGCCGAGTGTGTGACCACGCATGCCAGTCCTTGCCCAAGTATCTGGGGCTTCATCACCATACTGTTGATTCAATGGAATTTGGCATTGGCCAGCTCACGTGGCCCCATTCAAGGCTGAGTGGATCTGGGGATGCCCAGCTGACCTCACCCAGGGACCTCTACTGCTTGGGGGCTCTGAAGGAGCTGAGCCCTTCACAGGAGCACCTATGAGCAAAAGCTCGGAGTCTCAGAAACTTCCTGAGCAGCCTGGGAGCCTGTTGGTCACTTCCTAACTATGTCCAATGACTTGGGAAGGTGGTGAGAGAGGATGGTGAACGCAGGCAACCAGAAATGTGTGTCCTGGGAGGGTCGGCTGAAGGCTGGAGGAGGTGGGGTATGGTGACCCCCAGCCCCTTGTCTGCCGGGCAGGTCAGTGCTAGTCATGCCAACATTCCTAACCCGCTGCTTGGCTTCCTTTAACGGTGGGAAGTTTTCCAGCCGTGGGTCCGGTCCTGTTCTTAGTTGGTTCATCCTGCTTGTCTTCCTAGATAAATGGGTTTTTTCACGAATTGCATCAACATTTTTCAAATGAAAATAAAGCTCTGTCCAAGTTATTAATATCTGTGGCGCTGCCCCCCTCTTTTAAGGGGCCACAAAGAGGAAGGCCTGAAGAGAGCTGGAGTTGGGGAGTGTCGGGGATGCCCTGCAGTCATCTTGGTCCCCTTCCTCAGTGTCCTGCAGGCCTGTTGCCATGTGAAGGGAACCCACGCTTCAGGCAGGCCTTGCCAGCTGCAGTGGCTTGGGCTGTCCGCTCCCTCTTAGGATGGGAGAGAGGAGGGCAAACTTTCCCTTCCTGCTCACTGGTTTTCCTGGAGGAAATCCCCACCTCAAGCCCAGGCACCTTGCGCTCATACTCAGTCACCCAAGCCTGTTTTCTCAAGATAGGAAAACATGGTTTTGGAGCCAGAGAACACCTGGGTCTAGACCCTGGCTCTGCCGGTCGCTCCTTGTGGAACCTCAGACCAGCTACCTCACCTTCTGGGCCCTGGTTTCCCTGTGTATAGAGTGGAGTTGATAATAGCACCTGCCTCTTGGGGTGATGGTGGAAGTAAAGCAAGCCGCGGCGATGTCAGGCATCTCAGGGCTTCTGACTGCTGGCTGGCTGTCGCCCCATGGGTGGCTAGGGGAATCAGAGAGGCAGGCAGTGTCATGCCCAAGTGCCTGGACTCCAGGGTCAGGCTGCATGGGTTCAGATCCCGGCTCTGCCGCTGGCTGCCTAGCAGGCTGTTGAACTTCTGTATTTCACTTCCCTCACCCGGGTCATGGGGATGATGCAAGCTCCTGCCTTTCAGGGTGGGCATGTGGACCCAGCTATAAAGCAGGAAAAACACTCCAAGCAGTGCTGGGAGCTGTCACTTCTGTTTCTGCACGGTGCCACCGGGTCGGTTCTCAGGACCGATAACCTGAGCACCTAACAGAATTTCTTGCAGGGGATGTCAGTTCTGAAACAGGAAGGTGACAGGGAACAAATTCCATCACTTGAGGGCCTGCATAGGAGAAGCAAAACTCCACTTCCTCAGCTTCTGTGTTTTTAAAGAAACCAACTTGGCCTCTGCAGATGCAGCCTTTGGGGCCAAAGTGACTGTGGCAACGTGTGACCCAGAGGCAAAGCTCATTCTGAGGTGATCGCCCTCTCCCCAGGGGGCTCAGTGTGGGGCTGCACCTGGCCCATCCTCCCAGAGGCTCCCCCTCCACCAAGCTGTGGCTGTCTACCAAGGGGAGGGTGGCCCTCTGCACCTTCACCCACCTGCCTTTCACCTCCACCTGGAGTCTGCCTGTCAGTCCACTAGTGCCCAACTGGAGGAGGCAGCTTGTGGCAGTGCCCGTCTGCCCCTGGCAGGCCGCAGTCCGTCTTAGTGAATCTCCGGCTCTGATTGGCTACAGGCCTCCTGAGATCTGGAGCGAGGCCAGATTGAAAGGTGCAGGCCGTGCAGCTGCCCGGCCACATTAGGTGACTGTCCTTGGGAGTTTTCCAAGGGACAAACCTACCTGCTTATCCAGCTTGGCCGCTCTGAGGTCTACAGCTCCACTGAGGTGAAGCTGGCCGGCCTGGCCTGGCTGGTTGGGTAGGCGGTGGTCAGGACAGCCTCTGCCTGGCTGTGTCAGGTAGCCTCGAGTGGATGGTGCTCTGGTCAAGGGAGGGTTTCTGTTGACAAGGCAGGGCTGGCCAGCACATTTTTTGTGTGATTATCTGCACGATCGCATCAATTATTAGCAAAGAAGAGTCTTGCAGCAGCAGGGGTGGGTGCGCCTGTGCCCCAGGGTGCATGGAGTTGTTGACCGCCCTCTGTCATACATACACTGTCTACAGAATGATGACCGGCCCCCTCCCCCACGAAGGCACACCTTGGACTTTATGGATTCTAAGACACATTCTTTTCTTCTTCCCATTTTAACATCTCAGATCGTATGCGTCGTACTTTTGCTGGTGTGTTATAATTTAATTGACAGCACCTTTCTTTCTTGGTGTACTTGAAATAACAGTGTGTCTTAAAAGCAGAGATGTCTCGGATTTAATGAAACACAGAAACTAGGTAACCTCTGGAGAAATTACATAATTTGTCCAGTTTTTTAAAGGAAGGGGATAGAGCCACCTTGTGGTGGTGGTCCACAGATTGTGTGAGGAGATACTCTGATGGGGTTCAAGGCGATGAGCTTGGATACTGAGCTCGGATTCCAGCTGGCTCACCAGCTGTGTAGTCTTGGGAAAGTAGAGCAACCTCTCTGAGCCTCAGGTTCATTCCCAGTACATGTGGATTGTGGCCTCATAGTCGTCATGACTGGAGGCAAGCCACCTTGCCCTGTTTCTCTCGTGCTGGGTACCATCTAAGATCACACCGAAATGAGGGTGGGAGCTGGTCACTGGCCTTCCCTAGGGAGCAGAGGAAAACTGGTGTTATGGGGGCTACTTGACTCCGTTTGTGACAGCTGGACGTCACTTTTTCTTCCTTCTCTCCTCCTCCTCCCACTTTGCCTGTTTTCATTTTCACATGTTTCCCTTTAGCAATTCTTTTCCAGATCGCTCTCCTCTCCCTTGCTATAAGATCTTCCCACATGTAGCCTGTTTAAAGCTCCTTGTGGTGGAAAGGAGAGGGGACTGTCCTCCAGGGTGGGATGGCCCAGGCCTCAGAAGCCCAGGTGCCACGGTCCCTGCAACCTTCTACCCAAGTCCCAGAGCCGTCAGCGTTGCTGGCCCCTGTTCCTGTGACCTGTGGGGCTCAGCCGGAGGCGCTCCAGTTGCTCAGAGTTGTCCAGGGCGCAGGACACTGTGCCTCCAGGAGCGACAGGTAGCCTCTGTGCCCTGCTTGATGCATTGAAATCAGAAGCCCTGCTCTCTCTGTGTGACCTTTTGCAAATTACTAAACTTCTCTGAGTCT